GCATTTTGGAGGTCGAGGAGGATTTTAAAATTTCAAGGATTATTATTATTATTTTTATTAGTTTCCCCAGGAGGAGGAGGGGGGGTTTCTTGAGAAGCCTGCAGAGATTTCTTTGTGAGGAAAGTGATGGCCGAGCGGGGAGCTCTGTGGCTCCTCTCTCTTCTGTGGCTCACCTTTCTCAGCTCGGAGACCACCGCCGCAAAGCATGTCGACAAAGGTAAAAACAACAACAACAACAACAACAACAACCCACCACCAGAGTCCTTCCTGCCTGTGTGTCTGCTTTTACTCTAGAGTTTGGATGTGTTGGAGCGTTAGATAACTTTAAAAGTAGGCTACTTTTCACGACCAAGCCCTGTTTGAAGCAGGGGAGCAACAAGCTTCCACTCTGCGTCCTTTTGTCTGCCTGTAGCCCCCCTCCACATGTTTCCACACCAACTACAAAAAATACAATAAATAATCCATTCTAAATGGAGCTCATATGTGCATGTATGTGTGTGTATGTGTGTGTGTGTGTATATGTGTGGCAGCAAAGGATCCCAGAAATCCTCCAAGCAGAGAGTCATTAGTGATCAGTGTCCGATAATAAGCCTGCATCATCAGTCCGGCAGACATCTCATTACCTGGGCGTCAATACGTGTTCAGCAGATGGATAAACAGGACGTGATCCATTTGCTTCTGTTAATTGTTTCGAGGAGAGGAGCAACTGCAAGTGTGCACTTATAATATCTGTATATATATACCGCCCACCCCAATCATTGCATGTGGTGCTGCCATGGGAGATTATGAGGCGAGAACATCTCTGATGGGTACCAGCATTAAAACATAATTTTGGATGGTGGAGTGTCCAGAGATCAGAAGAAATGTTGAGGCTGCAGCAAAAAAATAAATAAAATAATAAAATTGGCACATGAGGATGGCCATGGTAACCACACACCTGTCTCTGCGGCTCCCTTAAGGACAGGCAGACAGAAACCCGCAAACTAAAACATAAGCCTTAAATAAACAGTCACAGTGCAAAAACTACAACTTGTAACCTTAAAATTCTTTAAGCATGAGCACCACAGGACCTCCACCCATTCCCCGTGGTGCTGGCGTAATAGATTACGAAATGGTTACAACATTTTTGAAGGTCTTCGTCGTTGACTACCGACATCAAAATGCCCCCCGCGTTTTGATGTTTTGGAGCATAGAGGGAGGTCAACGTCAAAAGAAGCTCCTGCAAAAAAAACGAGCACATTAGTAAAAACACACCTCTCTCTGCGACTTCGTTTAAGACAGGCAGACAAATGCGCAAACTAAAAGGTAAGCCTCAAACAAACTGTTGCAGAGCAAAAACTACAAGTCGCTCCTTGAAATAACTTTAAAATTTTGAAACAAGAGTAACACAGAACCTTCCACCACCACAAATCCATGTGTTTCTGCCATTAAAGCACACACACGTCTCTGCATCTCCCTTAAGGACAGGCAGATAGAAACGTGCAAACTAAAAAGTAAGTCTCAGACAAACGTCTGCCATGCAATAACCACAAGACATACAGTAACTTAGAGTAGCAGAAGACCCATGTGAGTTTTTATGTTTCTGCTGTTTTTTATGTAGTGTGTATGACCAAAAAAGTGTTAAAATATAAAGAGTATGGAAGCTTGGGGGCGCGCTCTTCACTTTAAGTTTAGTAGTAGTGAGAGACACTGGGTGAAAGAAGACAAAAACACCTACAGTATATTTTCATTTAAATATTGTAGATGCAATAAAAGTCATCGAAGTTCGCGAAACGTTGGAAAGTTAGGGACATTTTGTGGGAAAAAAAAATCTCCAAAAACCAGGAAACTTACACTGCGACTGTAAAAAAAAAAGGTTCAAGATGTCAAAATTTTGTTGTATAGTCCAAATTTCTGTGACCCATTTGAATTTAGTTTCAACTAAGAAATATTAATGAACTTTACTGTTTCAAAACAGGCTGGGTTTTCACACCCACTTAATCCAAATCACATTGTTGTATATGGGGGTAAAATTGTTTTAGTTTTAACTGTTTTAGTTTTGAAAATTATGTCTGTGTCATGCGATGTATCRCTACCAAGCCTTAGCACACGATTCCAGGTCGAGCCGCACTTTTTGAAGTATAGTTCTTCGAAGCTGCGGAGCATGAAATGAGACAAGAATCACCAACAGAATAGTAACCAGAGAGCATCGACGCTCATGCATTTGCACCTTTGRTAACAGGCGGCTGTGGGTTTGCAGAAACACGTTCTTAAGAAGTTCCCCGTTCAGCTCCAGCTCCAGATAAATTGGATAGTCATGATTAACCAGCAGTTATTGAAGTGCACACAGCTTCAGACATGATCACACACACACACACACACACACACACACACACACACAC